TGATTCTGGAGCCTCTAGACATATTTGTTCTGTTGCTAGCATTTTTCTATTTTTGCGGCCTCTGAGCAATGCTAAGGTTACACTTCCAGATAACACTGCAATTCCTGTTCAGTTTTATGGTGATGTCAGGCTGAATCCGTCTCTCCTTTTGAAGAATGTTCTTTATGTTCCTCAGTTTAAGTTTAACCTGATTTCGGTCAGTGTCCTTACAACTGATGCACAACTCATGATTCAATTCCTTCTTGGCCAATTCCTCATTCAGGAGGTCCACACCTTGAAGATGATTGGCAGGGGTAACAAGAAAGGAGACCTCTACATTATTAATTCTGATTCTCTGAATAAGGAATTTCCTCAGGAATTTTCTGCTTATGCAAATAAAGTCTCGGTTCAGCTTTGGCACAAGAGGCTTGGCCATCCTTCTGTTTTACGGCTTGAAGTTTTAAAAGACAAGCTGCGATATAAAGTTTCCAAGGCTGATTTTCTAGAACCATGTTATATTTGCCCTTTGGCAAAACAAAAGAGGCTGCCTTTTGTTTCTTCTAATCACATATGGAGTCCCCTTTTGATTTAGTGCACTTTGATATATGGGGTCCTTTTCATGAGGCCTCTTATAGTGGTCATAGGTATTTTTTAACCTTGGTAGATGATTGCACAAGGTTTACTTGGGTATACTTGCTTAAATAGAAATCTGATGTAACCTCTGTTCTTCCAAAATTTTTCAATATGATAGCAACTCAGTTTGATTCTACCATTAAAGAATGTTCGATCTGACAATGCCAAAGAGCTTGCTTTTACTGATTTCTTTGATGCTAAAGGTGTGCTACATCAGTTTTCTTGTGTTGACACGCCCCAGCAAAATTCTGTAGTAGAGAGGAAACATCAACATTTGTTGAATGTTGCTTGTCCACTATATTTTCAATCTCGGGTTCCACTTCAGTTTTGGACTGAGTGTGTTTTGACTGCTGCCTTCTTAATCAACAGGACTCCTTCATCTTTGCTTCGTCACAAAACTCCTCACGAGGTTCTTTATCATTCCTCTATTGATTATACCTTGTTTCGAGTCTTTGGCTGTCTAGCTTTTGCATCTACTATTCCTGTTAATCGAGATAAGTTTCATGCAAGAGCTCGTACTTGTATTTTTCTAGGGTATCCTGTTGGCATTAAAGGTTATAAACTCTATGATATCCAAACTAAACAGATTTTCATTTCCAGAGACGTTGTCTTTCACGAACATGTCTTTCCATTTCATTCCATCACTATAGAAGAGAATTTGATTGACCCTTTCCCTGACCTTGTATTACCTACACCGCCTCCTGACAATTTCTCACAAATCAGCGGAGTTCTCCTTCTTATTCCTCTGTTCCAACATCCACCACAGATCCTATTTCCACTGACTTGACTTCTCGGACGTCTTCTAGGCAAATCAAACCACCCTCTTATCTTCAGGATTTTCACTGTAACCTTTTGACTCATACTGACTCTAAGGTTTCTGATTTCTCTAGTCCTCTATATCCTCTTTCCAATCATGTTGGCTATGATGCCCTTTCTCCCTCCTATAAACAATTTGTCCTCACAGTTGCCACTCAAGTTGAGCCTCAGTTTTATCATGAGGCAGTGACATATCTTGAGTGGCGGGCTGCCATGCATGTTGAGTTAGAAGCTATGGAACAAAACCATACTTGGTCTGTTGTTTCTTCCCTAAAGACAAGTCCTCTATTGGCTGCAAGTGGGTTTATCGCATCAAATATAATTCAGATGGATCCATAGAGCGGCATAAAGCTCGTCTTGTAGCCAAGAGCTACACTCAATAAGAAGGAGTAGACTTCTTGGATACCTTTTCTCCCGTTGCCAAGTTGGTTACTATCAAGTTGTTACTGGCCTTGGCCGCTTCTCAACATTGGCATTTGACTCAGTTGGATGTGAATAACGCTTTCCTCAATGGCGATCTTTTTGAAGAGGTTTATATGGATCTTCTGTTGGGGTATAACAGCAAAGGGAAGTTTACTGGACAAGGGTCTAAATTGGTTTGCAAGCTTCACAAGTCTATATATGGCCTTAAGCAAGCTTCAAGGCAATGGTATTCCAAGTTTTCTCATGCCTTGCTTCAATTCGGCTTTCATCAATCTAAGTCCGATTACTCACTCTTCACCAAAGGTTGTGGTTCATCCTTTGTCGCCTTACTGGTGTACGTTGACAACATTATCATTACAGGTCCTAACCTTAAAATCATTGATTCTTTGAAGCTGTTTTTACATAGCCAATTCAAGCTCAAGGACCTGGGTGATTTAAAGTTTTTTCTTGATCTTGAGATTGCTCGATCATCCAAGGGCATTGTTTTGTCTCAGCGGCAATACACTCTCTAGTTACTTGATGATACTGGATTTCTTGCAGCTAAGCCAGCCAGTGTTCCCATGGATCCTAAGTTGCAGCTTGCTTCTAGCACTGGAGACCCTCTTGAGGATGTTGCTTCCTATCGAAGACTTATTGGTAGATTGCTTTATCTCTCTCTTTCCAGGCCTGATATTACTTTTGATGTTCACAAGCTTAGTCAGTTCTTGGCTTGTCCTCGAGTTCCTCACCTTCAAGCTGCTCATCACTTGTTGCGGTGCCTTAAATATAAGCCTGGTCAAGGATTATTCTTCTCCTCTAGTTCTTCCCTTCAATTGAAGGATTTTTCCGATTCTGATTGGGCTGCCTGCTTGGATTCCCGGAAATCCGTCACTGGTTTTTGTGTGTTCCTAGGTGACTCATTAATTTCTTGGAAGTCCAAGAAACAAACTACTGTTTCCCAGTCATCTGCTGAAGCTGAGTATCGGGCATTAGCTGCCACTGTTAGTGAACTTATATGGTTGAAGCAGTTGTTGGCGGATCTCTCTTTTCCTGCTATCGATCTAGCGGTTATTTTTTGTGATAATCAGGCAGCAATTCATATTGCTTCTAATCCAGTTTTTCACGAGCGCACCAAGCATATCGAAATTGATTGCCATTTTGTTCGTGACAAACTCACTGTAGGCGTTATCAAGCTTTTGCCTGTTCGTTCCCAGCATCAACTTGCTGACATTTTTACTAAACCGCTGCCATTGTCCTTACTTTTTCCTCTGTTGTCCAAGATGGCTATAAAGGACATTTATAGTCCATCTTGAGGGGGCGTATTACATCAGCTGGTCATTTTTCATATTTCAGTATTTTAGCTTACCTTGCAAGCTTTCCTGACGTGTATGAAGTAGTTACAATATTTATCTTTTGTAACCGTGTATATAAGTGGTTTTCCACTATTCACATTAATCAATAACAGCATTATTCATTTTTCTCCAATTCTCCTGTTATTCGCAATAGAGGGGTTTTTTTTTTTTTTTTTTTTTTTTTTTGGATGTTCTCTCTTTACCTTAAGGTTGTTCTTTTATTTTCCTTGACATTTTATAAAATATTTACTTTTTATTTTATAACAATGAGCTGGGAGGTTGGGGTGTGATGAAGATTCTAATTGGGTTGTACTAGATTTCTTTTATGTCAGTTGCCAGTGCCACTATAAGAATCAGGCGTATTAGCTACAGAACTCAAAGGGCGAAAAAAATCGCCCCCAACAGAGCGAAATAGCAGCGCATATTTTTACCCCTACACATAATCAAAGGCGGTCAACAGAACTTTCTATAGCGGCGAAAACTTTCGCTCACACACACACCTTTTATTTCACGTAGCGGGAAAGAGGGAACTGGAAGGTTTAGAATATTTTTCGTTGCAGCAATTTTTTTCACTGATACATGTGCATTTTATTCTGTTTTTACAAAATAGCGTTTGAAATACGCGCCTGTAGCCGCAAAAATTGTTGTTGATACATGTGTAATTTTCATTTTGTTTTGGCCATAGCGTTTGAAATACGTGCATTTATTTTAATAAAAATGAAATTCTATAACCGCGAAAATTTTTAGTCTTAAAGAGTTTTTTTTTTTTTTTTTGAAAATTTTTCCCCAGAGAAAAAAAAATCAATAAAACCATGTAGCGGCGAATAATTGCGCCGCTATAGGTTACTCAGCGGGGCAAAATTTAACCCGGGCTGCTGCTTCTCCAATTTTTTCAAAAACTTCGGCCGTGTTTGGAATTGATCCCGTTTTTATTTTTCATGTTTTTTGAGAAAGAAAAAATAAAAACGTTTCTAAAACAGCGTTTGACGCAATAAGAGAGAAATGAATAACGAATCTAAGTCATTTTTTTATTTTTTATTTTCGTTTTCTCTTCATCTCGAGTAGAGAGAGAGAGATTAATGAATTTTTTATACTAAAAATAATCTCTTGATAAAATTATCAAACATATTTTTAAAACTTATTTATGTCTGAGATTGAAAACGTTTTCATTTTCATTTCCATACAAAAAATAAAATCATATTAGAACGAGTTTCAAACGCGCCATTCATCTCTCTAAAACCTCCCCTTCTCTCTCTAAAACCCGCCTATGAGCTGCTTCAACGTAATTGTACCAGACTCCTTTTGTACTTCATATTTAGTTTTCTACTTTCACTTAATATTGCTAGGTTTCAAAGATGCCTTGAGCACCCCATTATTTGCCATGCCATTTTAAGTAGTCAAACCATATCTCTATTATTATTTGACATTCATTTGGATTTCATCAGCTGGGTTTGCAAGATATTACACTACACTCATCTATTCATCATAATGGCCGTCCCTAATAAATAATCCTCACATATATATATATATATATAGATACATATATATTGATAGGCCTCTACTGGGGTAGGATATACAAAATGCACAATTAGTATGGCGATGACTAATGTGATGAGTAGGGTGTGCAGCTTGTGATGCCACAAAAAAAAAAAGTTGACACACGGCACAAAGGGTTATATAGGCTGGTCAAAAAGATTAAACCGCGTGTAATTTATTGAAGGTTTTGTTGTCAAACTTATCACTTGTTATGACACGCACAATTTCACTATTATTTAAACTCCCACCTACTACTTCTCACTGCCACCTGCTTCCGCCTCTTCTCTATGCCTCACAACTTGTCATTCTTAGGACGTTACTAATAATTTATCCTCTCTCTCTCTCTCTCTCTCTCTCTCTCTCTCTCTCTCTCTCATCTTTTTCCACTACTAATTATAAATTACCCTCAAATATCCAATGAACCCCACCAAAAAAATCAAGTTTCTCTTTCACCCCTAATAACACAGTTCATAAAACTTGTCAATACCTCAAAAACCAACCGATAAAAAATAATAGGAAACCTAATTTAGTCTATTCGTTTTCTTCAATATGATGTTGCTTATTGTGATGCCACTACTGTTTTGCTCCATCTTGGCTGTCGAAGCCGGTAACTTCTACCAAGACTTTGACATCTCATGGGGAGATAACCGCGGTAAAATTCTCAACAATGGAGAGCTTCTCACTCTATCACTTGACAGAACTTCTGGCTCGGGATTTCAATCCAAGAATGAGTATATGTATGGCAAAATAGATATGCAGATCAAGCTTGTTCCTGGCAATTCTGCTGGAACTGTCACTGCATACTACGTAAGATATTCTTTAGACAATCTTAATTAATTTCAAAATCTCGTTATAATATATACTAATGCTCATTCATATAAATTATAAATAAGAACTCTAATCTCTTTCACAGTTATCTTCAGAAGGGCCAACGTGGGACGAAATAGACTTTGAGTTCTTGGGGAATTTGAGTGGTGATCCGTATACCATTCACACTAATGTGTACACGCAAGGCAAAGGTGATAGAGAACAACAGTTCCATCTTTGGTTTGATCCAGCATCAGATTTTCACACTTACTCTATCCTTTGGAATCCACAACGTATAATGTGAGTATAAACAAGCCCTTAATCCCTCAAGTTGTAGAATATATAAATCACAATAACATCATTAATGGACATAGTTTTAAGCCTTTAGACTTTCATCAAGTCTAGTTAATAACTATTTGTTACCATTTTTTAATCTAATACGTGTAATCTTAAGCTTATCAGAAGGAATTTTTTATACAGTATCACATAATTTGTTTAAAAAATTTTGTAAGAACTGGGTACTATAGGTAGGATATTTTTACGAAGAATAACCCAGTCTCATATATATTGTTTATTTTAAGCTCCGATCATTTCATCGATTTGAATTTAAAATTTGAATTTTGCTACATGAAAGTTAAATAGTCAGAAACTTTTAAAATATAAAATTATTGTTGATCCACCTCTTAATAACTTAAGCTTTTGGGATGGATTAGTAAACTAACTTGGTATCAGAGCGGGAGGTCCTAAGTTCAAACCCTCGTAATTGTACTCTTTATTTCCAACCCACCTCCTAATAGCTTAAGCTTTTGGGATGGATTAGTAAACTAACTTGGTATCAGAGCGGGAGGTCCTGAGTTCAAACCCTCGTAATTGTACTCTTTATTTCCATTTAAATTGTCATCATGTGTTGGGTGTTTAATATATCTCGGGCTTAAATATTCACGTGTTGGGCTTTCTAATTAATTTACTAACACGATTGTCCATTGTCCAGCCCACATGTGAGGGGGAGTGTTAAAATATAAAACTATTGTTAGTCCACATCTTAATAGCTTAAGCTTTTGAGATGGATTGATAAACTAAGTCACAGTTAGCATTTAACTAACTTTTTTCTACAGTAAAAAGCTCTTACATATCAAGTCACATCTAACTACTAAACAGACTTTTAATAAACATCAACTTACAAGAATATTGAATTATCAAGTCACATCTAACTACTAAACAGACTTTTAATAAACATCAACTTACAAGAATATTGAATCACCTCACCCGAAGATTGACGCGGCTGGTTGATCTTTCATTTTTACAATTTTTTTCACTGCATATTCCATAATTCTCTTAAAAATACATATTTGTGTTCAAATTAATTTCCTCACGTTTTTTTTTTTCCAGATTTTATGTGGATGGAACTCCCATAAGAGAGTTCAAGAACATGGAATCCATAGGAATACCTTTCCCGAAAACACAACCAATGAGAATATACTCAAGCCTTTGGAACGCAGACGATTGGGCAACAAGAGGTGGTTTGGTGAAAACCGACTGGTCAAATGCGCCATTCACTGCCTCTTACAGAAACTTCGACGCCAAGACCTCTTGCGTGTGGAGTGCTGGGAAGTCTTCTTGTGGGTCTTCTGATTCCAATTCAAAAGACAGGGCTTGGCTGACGGAGGATCTTGACGCCACGAGCCAAGAGAGGCTCAGGTGGGTGCAGAGGAATTTCATGATTTATGACTACTGCACTGACTCAAACCGCTTCCCTCAGGGCTTTCCTCGAGAATGCAACGTAGCGACAAAACTGTAGATCATGTGTTGCGTGTATGTAATATTTTATGTGTGTATATATGTGACACATGTATTATTATATATATATATATGTATTGTATACATATATGAACGCGTATAACTTGTGTATCCACAATAATTTGTTCTGTGTATATCTTCATAATGCCATACGAACTATATTATATAGTATTAGTAGCCTCAATATGTGTAGTATATGTGTGTGTACATATGTGACACACGATCCGTATGTGTGTATATGAGCCTCAATTTGATAGTTTTATGCATTGTATAATGCATTATTTGATAGTTTATATATAGAATAAAAATAATTAGTTTTTGTTTAATTATTTTACCTTTACGTTATTGGCTGTATATATAGAATTCAATAATAACGTACTTGCACATAAGTCAGACTAAAATTTGAGAGACAGAAAAAGAGAGGGAGGAGAACGTACACAAACATTATACGTACATAACCCGATCGATGTAATAAACTATATGCAATATAAATTATTCATCTTACGATCGAATGCTTTTTTAATCCACAATTTTGACAAGTGTCGTCTAACCGATTTAAATAATCGGTCAAATTCTAAATCCTAGGACACCCAATATTCTATTTATTTCCATTATATATATATATATATATTTAAATTGGATGGCTAGATGGGATTGACTCGTTACCCCACGTAATTAACATGGCTATCTCTATCATCATTGTTATAACTTACTTAGCGAACTGCGATCCATCAAAATCAATTAATTATTATTAATTGTTAGGCATCATTACGAACATTGTTATCCTCATCTGCAGGTCATCCATAAAAATGAATTACTTACCTGCCTACCTTATACTTATCATACGTCCTTCTGGAAAAGTCTCAATACTCTCAAACAAGTTCCTCTAAAAAAAAATTACAAAATAAAAACTCTCAAACAAGTTTTTTTTTTTTTTTTTTCCCTTAATTAGCCAATGTGCAAATAATTAGTCTTTCTGCCTTCAAATTACTACATTTCCAACATCTTTCATTCTAAATCTACATGTGTCTGATTGGATCTTAAAAATGTAAGAACGCCACTTCACTCCCAAAGCTATATAACATTAATTTTTGACATATATTTTTGGAAGGAAATGGAGAATTTCATTCAACTCAACAGAGGATACATGGCATACCGACCTAGTAATACATGGCATAACGACCTAGTAATACGAGGCATAACCCTCAAAAGGCAACTTCATCAGTACAATCAAATCACACACAATAGGCAAAACATATGTCCAGAGGCCTGAAAACGGGAACTATCTCGACATAACAAGAATCAAGGCCACAAAAAAGTAAAAAACGACATAAATTTTACATTATTAAAATGTATTTTAAAAATATAAAGTTATGGATATTCTGAAATTTTATCGATATTTCCACGACATTCTCATAAAATTTCCACAATGTTTAGTCATTACCAGTTACCACTACACTTTTTGTGAGAATAGATATTTCCGTAAAACATCATTATGTATGGAAATTTTTGTGAAAATTTCAAGATTTTCTGCCCAAAAGATACTATACCCCTCTTTCCACAACAGCACTATTAGGTATTTTTATTAGTTGGCAATTTATTGGCAATTTTGTAAAAATTCAAAAAATAGGTTCAAGAAGATTTCAGATTGTAGAAGAAGAATTCGAATCAGATTTGAAGTTAAAGTTACAGATTTTGTTGAGTTAAGATTTGAAGAGATAAGGATAAAGGCTTGGTCAAAGGAAGATAAGACATTGGTTGAGATTTGGAGAGATAAAGATCCGATTATTGTTAGGAGAGTTGAATGGCTTGTATGTATGTATGTATGTATGTATGTATTCACGTGAGCTACACAATTAAGCTTGAGCTGCACATGAGAATTGGAACTTGAAATTTGACTTGGTCAAAGAAAAGTCAAAGATAACTTGCTATAATGAAAGATAAGGCATTGACGTGGAGATGACTAAGAGAATATTAGATGTTGCAGATAAAGCTGAGGAGGATTTTTTGGTATCTGAATATAGGTTCAAAAGTTGAAAAAGGAGATACGTGGAATGGGTTTATATGGGAAGTGGCTCTGCTGGAAAAGGGGGGTTGACTACAGAAAAAAGTCTGGTGATAGAGAATCGGTGCTTAAAGAGAATAATCTGTAGTTTATGTTTTTTTCTCATTGAAAGGATGAACAACTGAAGGGAGTTCAGTAGTTAAAGGTGAAGACGTGTGGTACACGCTAAACAGTGTCATTGTGAGAGTTCATCACAGCGGCGTCTTGAGTGAATAAGTCCGTCAAGGTTGTAATTCTTAAATCATAGTGAAACTGTTTACTGTCTGGGCGTGGCCCCGCAGAGTAGGTGTGCACACCGAACTGCAATATCATATTATGTGTTCCTTTACTTTCTGTACTTTATTTTACGCGAGCAACTGAACATAATTAACTCAGATCTAACAAGCACTTTTAAAATACGAAAATTTTCACAAAAAATATTGGTAGAAATGTCGATTCACTACAACAATTATGCCCATTTGCGACGAAATTTGTCGTCACAAATAATACACTATTTGTGATGATATGTCGTCGCAAATACCTACTGTTAAATAAAATAACCATGTCGTCGCTAATAATTTCAATTTCGTCGCAAATAATATTGGCGCGCAATTTTCAATTGCGCGGATTATTCACGCCAAGGTAATCCATTTTTTTGCGACAACAAGTCATGACTATTTGCGACGACAATCATCGTCGCAAATAGTTTTACCTTATTTGCGACGACATTATTTTACTGTCGTCGCAAATAATCTTATTTGACGATAAAGTTGGTGCGGGAAAAAAGCATTAGTTGCGACAACTTTAAAATATTTGCGGCGAGAAAATATCCTCGCAAATATTTTAGTATTTGCGACAACATTTTATTAATTTACGACGACATTTTAAATTTATTTGCGACGAATATGTCATCGCAAATAACTCTGACCTAATATCCCCTTCTTCTTCTTCTTCATTTTCTCCCGACGCTCTCTCTCTCTCCCTCTTGCAAATCTCTCTTTCTCTCTCTTGCAAATCTCTCCGTCGTAGCCTCATCTTCCTGTGGCCGCCGCCGCCGCCCTGCTGCCGGCCTCTCCTTCTCTCTCTTCCCTGCTTCCTCTCTCTCTCTCCTCCGAGCGGATCTCTCTTCTTCCCCTCTCTTTCCCCCGCCGCCCCCCGCCGCCGGCCTTCCCCTTCCCTCTCTCCCCTTGTCTCTCTTCCTTTCTCTCTCTCTCTCTCTTTCCTTCTCGCTCTCTCTCTCTTCTTTCCGTTTCCTGCCGCCCCG